AGCTCGAAGCAGCCGCGAGATCCCGTGGTGCCGCCGGTACCCTGCACGGGGATTTTCCTGGGGCCGAGCAAGAGCGGGAAGACAGTCGCGCTGATCAGCGCGATCCTGGAGCAGTATCGCACGGCGGACGGTTCCAGCGTGTTTGAGCGCATCTACATCTTTTCGCCGAGCATAGAGATCGACGACGGCTGGAGGCCCGTCAAGGAGTTCATAGAGAACGAGATGGGTGTGAACACCGAACGGGAGCAGGTCTACTTCGACAAGTGGGACGAGGGGGCACTCAGAACGATAATCGAGCAGCAGAAGAAGATAACGAAGACCTCCAAGCACTGGGGCGAAAAAACTGTTCCAAGTGCTGGTGGTCATAGATGACTTCAGCCGCTCCACCGCCGGACCGGGGACGGCGCGCTGGACACGCTGTTCATCCGCGGCCGCCACATGCAGATCAGCACCTGGGTCTCGTCGCAGAAGCTGCGCCTGATCAGCGCGGCCGTCCGCGTCAACACGCAGTTCATCTGCATCTGGCGGCTGCGCAACCAATTGGAGCTGGAGGCGGTGCTGGAGGAATTGACCGCCCTGCTGCCCAAGCAGGAGCTCCTGGCGATGTACCATGAGGCCACCAAGGGAGCCTTATAGCTTCTGGTTCATCCACTATCTCAAGGACAGGGCGAACATGTTCTTCAAGCGGTGGGAGGAGCGATTTGTCCTGGACGGGGAGGACACGCAGCCGGTAAACAATGGGGGGCTTCCTGTCGGCGGCGGCCAGCAAACTGCTGGGGGGCGGGCCCATCATCGAGTCGGAGTGCAGCAACATCAAGTGCTGCAGCACCAGCCAAGCGCGCAACGTGTACGACCCCCGGCTGGGCACGATGCCTACCGGATGGGACCGGGGCGCGTCCGAGCTGTCCACGGCCAGTGAGATCTCCAGGACGCCCTTTCGCTTTAAGAGAAAGAAGCAAGCCATGACGACCATCTACGTGGACTCCAGGAAGCGCGTCTCAGGCTTGGACAGCAACTTTGCTTTCGAGATCCCGGAAACGATCCACATGCAGTCCAGCGCCAAGCTGGCGGTGTACAAGGCGCGCATCGCCGACGCCTTCCTGTCCACGGACAGGGGCCGGAACCTGTACTGGATCGACCAGGCCCTGGGCACCTTAAACACCGCTGAGCTGCCTGTGGGCGCCTACACCGGCACCCGGCTGGCGGCGTGGATCTCGTCCAATTACGCGTCGGCCGTCTACGTAGAGGCCCAGAACTCAATAGAGGTTGCAAGCGACGGGAACCGCCGCATCCTGTCGGACGCCGAGCTCCTGAATCTCACGCGCACATCCTGGGCCCGCTAGGCACGGACATCATCTGCAAGGTGATCATCGATAAAGGGGTTGGCCACGTCATGACCGACGACGGCCACCTGGCGGAGCTGCGGGGCCCGATCACCCTCAGAACGCTGAACTTCAGATTGACCGACGTGGACGGCAACGAGGTCAACACCCGAAAAACCTCGGTCTCCTTCGCGATCTTCATCGACCCAGAAAAATGACCGGGCGCTAGAGAAAAAGAACAATAATGTCGGATGAGCAGCAGCCCGAACCTCCGGAAACAGGCGGCGAGGCGGGACGTGAGCCCGCCCCCGAGCCTGCTGGACGGTTCCGCGTTCCTGAGCCCGTTCCAGAACCTGCCGACTCCGTGGTGGCCGTGCCCGATGCGCAGGATCCCGGAGCCGCCGCCGTATCAAAGGCTGCCCCCAAGAAGAGAGGCGCCGCCAGGAAGCAAGAACAAGTCCAAGCCGCCGCCCCAAACGGTCCCCGCAGAGTCCGCCGAATCTGGGCCAGGCAATCAGCCGGAGCAGGCGCCTGCAGTGGCTCCGGAGCCGGAGCCCAAGGTCAGGCACCCCGTGCACCTGACGCCTGCGCAGATGCGGAGGGTGCGGCAGATCAGCCGGCAGAACCGCTTCGAGCAGCTGGCCGTGGCGTGCAGCATGGACGTGTAAGTAAAGCAACCATGATGCCCCTGGAGCAGCGGAACGAGCCCCAGATGCTGAGGAGCTTCTGGAAGCAGTATCCCAGCTACAGGGTGCAGCCGCTGCTCTACAAGCGNNCCTAGGTGCTTGAGGCCCGCGCCTTTAACGAGTGGCTGGAGAACCGGCGGCTGAGCAAAGAAGGTCAAGAGTACACCGATGCTGTGGGGCGGCTCACCGAGACGGTCAACCGCCGCCTGCCTCAGCTGAGGTATGCCCCCGCGGAGCGGTCTGGCATTCGCTGGGCCGCGCGGGACGTGGCCTCAGGACGGAACACCCAGGAGTCGGGGGTGGTGGGCGGCGTGTTTTAAGGAAAGCATGGAAGAGAGACGCCAGTACGGCTTCAGGGTCCGGCCCAACTACGGCCAAGTGCTGGGCTACTTTTGAACTTTGA